CGAGCCATTTTGAGCCGAACACGAGCGAACAAACTGTTGTTCGTGTTCGACTCGTTAGGCTTAACGAACGAGCCGAACACGAGCTGCTTAACGAGCCGAACACGAGCTTTTCACGAACAACGAGCCAATTTGACAGCCCTAGCAACCAAGTTGTATAGGTTGTACTGAGGGAACTCGGTACAACCAATACAACACGGTCGTACTGAAGTAAGACAACAATGTTGAATTTTGTTTAAAATCTGAATAAAAATAAAAAAATGTATATAAATAGAGTGATTTTTTATCTTTACTTTTGAATATTATTGTTTTTTCACTTCTCTTGTACAACCATGTTGTATTGGTTATACTGATACAACATGGTTATACTGAAGCAAGACAACAACGTGAGTTTTGATTAAAATCTGAATAGAAATAAAAAAAGGGATATATAATTAGGATGAATTTTTTATTTTTGTTTCACCTCAAACATATGATTGTTTCATTATTTCTCTTGCACAACCATATTGTATTGGTTGTACTGAAGTGAGATGATAATGTTTAGTTTTGTTTAAAATATTTATAAAAATAAAAAAAATTGTATATATATATAATGATTTTTTTTTATTTTATTCATCTTTCCTAAGATTGTCTAATTATTTCTCTTATACAACTAAGTTGCGTTGATTGTACTTACACAACTCAGTACAACTGATACAACACAGTTGTACTGAACTAAGGCGGCAATATTGAGTTTTGTTTAAATTCTGAATAAAAAAAATAGAATATAGACAAAATGAATTTTTAATTTTAGTTTTTACTCAAACTTACGATTGTTTGATTATTTTTCTTGTACAACCAAGCTGTATTGATTATATTGAGGTAACTTAGTCCAATCGATATAACAAGGTTGCACTGAAGTAAGACAGCAATTATGAATTTTGTTTAAAATCTGAATATAAATAAAAATGGTATATAATAGAATGAAATTTCAATTTTGGTTTTTTTTCATACCTACAATTGTTTGATTATTTCTCTTGTACAACAAAGTTGTATTAGTTGTATTGAGTTACACTTAGTACAACCAATACAAAATGGTTGTGCCAGAGTAAGGCGCACAATGATTATGTTGTTTTACATTTACAATATTAATTATTTTTGTTTTATTATTTCAACAGTGTATTTAAAAACTTTTAATAGAATTACCAACATAGGAATTAGGTTCAGGTGTCAAAACTCAACATTTCAAGCAACATTTGATGAATTTTTATAGGACATCCCTGAGGATGTTGTTGTTATATTGAGGAAACTGCATTTTCATCACTTTTTTAAGGTTTCACCCATCCAACAAATCGTACCACTTATTGTGCACATTCTTGAGTCTTGGAATGTTGAGAGGCAAGCCTTCTTTGTTGGTGGCCACGAGCTAAAGTTCATTGTAGATGAAATGACTCTTATGATTGGTTTGTCGACAGAGGAATCAAAGTTACTTGAGTGAGGGAGCCTTTGTCCAAGTTCACATTCATAGATTTAAAAAAAAAATTAAAGAACCTAATTTTAATAAAAGTAGCTCTAAATTTATCAATTTTTTATTAATTTGTTGCTTACAAACCTATTTTTTAATACAACAACTATAAGATACGGAGGGGTCTTCTTTTTTTTTCTAAAATTGTACATAAATTTGCATAGTATAATTAGTCGGAGGTCATATGGAGGTTTTTGGTAGACTAATTTGACAGCCAAATCGAGAAGCCTTGACTCCAGAAGCCTTTTGGCTACACGACTAGCTATGTCGTTCTTTTGATGGTGTGAATTCTTTTTATATCATTATTTGTAAGCATGATCCTCATTTCTTACATGTTAATGTATTATATTACATTGTATTGCATGTGTAGTTTTTTGGTATATCAATATTATTTTCCCTAGAATGCCAAAAGCAAGACCCCCATATAATGCAGTGGTCGAAGTTGGTGGCAATGAGAAATAACTTTTGTAGTGCTTTTTTTAGAGGTTCCATATAATCAGATAAAGCCTATTATAATAAAGTACATTATTTTCATCTTTATAAAAATGATTGTTGCCTAAAGATATTTATCTATTGTTTTACAGGATTTCAATTATTTTAGGATTTAAACATGGAAGAGTCAACAATATTATCCAATCTTTCTAATGTACATTACTCGTCAACAACCACCTCTTCTCTCTCCCCAAGAGATCAACAAATTTCACTTTCGAAATCTACAATAGTGATTACAGAAGAAGCCACTCATAATCATGTAAATATTCCTTCAAACACTGAAATTTATAAATTGATTATGTTTATTGAGCAAAGGCTTAAAGATTTTGAAGCCTCAATAAATAATAAGCTCAAGCAGATTGAGATTGCCCTAAGTTGTGAGAGCACAAGAATAAGTGCAATGGAGGCATGAATAAGGTCTATTGAAGACCAAATAACTGGATAGCTCAAGATGGCCCATTGTCCCTAAAATGTAAATACAACAATAAACACACCTCATGTCGATTTAAATCTAATAAATGAAGAATTAAACATAGGAATAAATACACCACCAATTGGGTTGAAGGAA